TGAGCTAATTATTAACACAGACTACAAAACGAACGTTCTCTAATGCGAACGTTCTCTAATGCGTTCTCCATTGCTAATTAGTTCTTAACAACAAGCAATTTGAATTTTATTAATCAACATCAATAACGCGACTATGTATTAGAATCTTTAGCCAGTTTTTTACAAATTACTGTTACACATTTTTCATATATACATATTTGTAGTTGTACTCATTGCTAAATATGTTATTAAAATATCGATACCTAACATACTTCCAAAATTAATCGAAAATCTCAAATCCTTATATAGTTCTAGTTCGTATATATATTCTCTTCACTGAACGATTTAACAGTCGTTATGTGATTCTATAGCGAGGACAGTTAAAGAAAATAATTACCCACCATACCGACGAAAAAGTTTTTGAATGAAACTTTACTACTTAAAATAAAAAAGAGAAGATATATAATCATCTTTCTCTATCACTATCGTATAAAAATAGAAACCTGTTAATACATTGTGCCTGAAATTTTTATTTTTATTTTTCATATCCGACATAATACATATTTCTTAAATATCAATATTTTTAATATCAGAGTATTGATATGAAAGTAATAAAATTATATCAATTATAATGAAGAAATGAAGTTTTTTCCAACAATAAATTAATAAAAAATTTTATTTTCGTGAGAAAGTAATTAACATTCGTCATAAAATGTTTAATCAATGTACAGACTTATCTCTTTTTTCTTTTTTATATACATACATACATTAAAGAATTAAATAAAAGTTAAGATGTGGATATGCAATTTTGAGATGCCATATAGAATGGAAAATCATCTTATTTTAGTAGCTGATATATCTTTTCGCCATGCGCCATAATATGAAATGTCGCATGTAGGTGTAGCTTGTAGCAGAAAGTCATAAGGTGAATGGTTTCGAGAGAATCATAAAATAAATAGAATAAATGCTATAGCTACTATTTTTATATTAGAAGGCTGTATTAGTAGTTCGTAAAATTGTACATAATATTATTATTTAAAATATATTTTTATATGATAATAGATATGAATATTAGAATATATTTTATATTCTTAGTTTCTTATATTTTATAAGGTATTTTACTTAACAAACTGCTTATAATCACTTATTAGATAATTTGTATTCGGATTGACCTGAATTGTTTCTTAAAAACTGTATTAAATTTTTCACGTTGGAACTTTTTTAATAAACATGTTTTATAAAAAGATTTTATAAAAAATTGTATACGTATATCGGAAACGTTACCTCGTTAACAATTCTCGCATTTTCAATCATGACATGTTATTTGTTAATACATTAAAATGCACATTAGAAAAAAAAATGTCTGTATAGTAGTTTTATGCATAAAATACAAATGCATTATTTTATCTTATGTAACATGCCACGCGTAATTCTCTCGTATGCACACGACTATTACGCAAATGTATAACATGTACACGCGCGCTTCGTTCGCGATGAACCCTAATCAAGGACATGCGATATTTCACAGACAGAATTTCCTCTAGATCCAACACGGAGATTATCGAGCAATGAATAGATAACCATTGCAGAAAAGTCACGCGAAGTTGAGCATTGTGCTTTGCGAGGATCGTATCGTAAAAGCGTCATCACAATTTTCGCGCCTAACTGTGAATTTCTCGTAATCTGCACATGATCTAATTTCCTTTTTTGATTGTCATAACTCCATAAATGAACATATACTCAACCAAATGAGACCATTTTCACATTATATTCATTGTTATTTACATATTACGTACAAATATTATTAATACAAATTTTTTATTAATTATAAAAGCCTTTTATTTTAATAAGATTTGAATAACAATTTAATTTGTGACTCAAGTTTACATATAGAAATCTTCTTTCTCATTTTCTAATTCTGAATAAGATCACTGCACCAATCAATAAACAAATAAAACATTCATGATGTTGTTACAAATTATAGTGCGTACCTACACATACTTACCCCCCCCCCCCACACACACACACACACACACACATACACAAAATAACAAATTACATAACAGTTGGTTGTTTATTCTTTAAAAATGTCATGTGTCATCTATAAAAAAATAAGAAAAAGTAAATTTTTATTAAAACAGTGAAAAAATACAAAAAGAAATACTAGTTAATGATGCATACTACAAGTAAATAATCAATGTGTACTAAGAGAAAATAAATAGGTACATCTTTCTAATACATGTACGAGAATCATTTGAAAAGTTTTGAGCCTCAACATAAAGATAATATTTCTCGACCAAACCATTCTTGTACTATAATCGTACATATTTTGCAAAATATCTGTGAAAATTGTAGCCATTTTGAATGCTCAGTTGTTGTTTGAGAGTCATTTGTGCCAGTCGATGTCAGTGTTTTCGTTTGATGAAAATCTCTGTCCTCCGAGCCTAACTTTGAGCCTAGGAAACAGGAAAAAGTCGTTGGGAATCAGATCTGATGAATACGGTTAACGATAGTTAATTAATTCAAATCGCAATTCGTAAATTTTTGGCGATCGTCGATATTCCATTTTATCCGATTTTTTCATTTTTACAAAAACACTGACATCGACACAAATGGCACAAATGATTCTCAAACAACAACTGAGCATCCCAAATGGCTACAATTTTCACAGGTATTTTACAAAACATGTACAATTACCCTCGCCAATACCAGAACAATTTTGACGAGTAACGCCATTTTCATATTGAAGTTCAAAACTTTTCAAACGATCCTCGTACATATTTTTGACAGTCAACTAAATAATGATAGATATTATTAAATTTCTATCATAAATACATTCATTAAAATAAAGTGTATGAAGCGAAAAGTGCCTCTTCATAGAAGAGACTCAAGATTCAGCCGAATTGAAAGCGCTTCATTATTTGCTGCATCTTGTAAGTGGTTCTTTCGAGACGTATGCGGCATCGGCAATCTCCATTCGTCAAGATGGAATTTCTCTTGTCGCGCCCTTCTGTAAGTAGAATGCGCGAAGCAAGCGGAAGAAACGAGAGTTTCGAATTGGAATAACCCAGTAACAACCGTCGCGGCATTTTCTAGCTTTTGAGACGCAAGAAAATAACGATACAGCAGTACGCATACAATCATATGGTAAAATATGATAGCCTTCCGTATGAAAGGACTCGGGAGAACATCGTATTAGGAAAGAAATATTAAATGTAAAGTGCAAAAAATGCATTCTCAAGCCCAGTTAGAAACAAACGACAGTCGCAGTCGTCGCAAACAAGTGTGGTAAAGTAATAAAGTATGCGACGAAAGAGTTCGAAAGAAATAAAAATGCAAAATAATGCTCGTATCTACACGATATTGCTCAAGTATATAAAAATTTAGCAAGCTACAAATTTGAGAATTATTTTTTAAGTTTGACCAAAATAATTACGAGTAGTAATCTCAAGCATGAGTAATGCTGGGAAAAGTTTTTTAATATCCTAGCAATCAGTTTGAGCATTCTATATAATTACTTTAATGATGAGTGTCTTCACGAGTTTTACATATTCAAATCTGATTTATTTTCCACGTGATTGATGCAGAATGCGAAGATGAAAAAATGAATTGATGAAAGACATGGAAACGATTGTGTTTTGATAATAAGAGAAAAAAGAATTAAGTATCAGAATTGCTCAGAGAAATTATTATACATACATAATTATTTAATTCCAAAAATATGCAAACATGCAAAAGGAAAAGAAAACGACTTCGAATTATTTTCGCGATTTTTCTAATGACTGAATTTTATTTCAATGTAACAACTAATCAAAAATATTTTTTCACTAAAAAAAACCTTTGAAAAATATATGCAGTGTCCCGAAATTTTTCGTCAAGCGCTCTTGCGTAGATAGAGCGGATTAAACCGACAAATTCTCTACCATTTTGTAACTTTTGCAACAAAATATCAATTACTAAAAATTGCCGAATATTGGTCTTGAATAATTTTTTTCTCAAATATTATCAACTTTACAGAAGAACTGCAACAGAAAAAAATTGTTTATTTTCTTTTCATAGAATTCTAAGAATTTTTTCAGAATTTTTTATCAACTTTTTAGTACCGCATTTTCTTATATATACATACCTATATTGGCAACTATTTTCTTAAATTGATAGTATTTAAATTTAACAAGAAGAACGACTAAGAATTCCACTTTCATATTTAAATAAAGGTGGACCGATTTTGCATTCAAGTTAAGTTTCGACTTTCAACACTCGCGATGCTTGTGAACTTTGTAGTCGCGCATAATGAATGCGCTATAGGAAAAAAATGTCACGAACGTAACATAACCGTGACGAAGACTAATCGCAGACAAAATCGCCTTTATGGAGTTAAGTTTTCGGGATACCTTGTATATTTTCGATTTTGTAACATCTCTCTTTCTCTCTCCCTCCCTCCTCTCTCTCTCTCTCGATATATCTTTAGTTTCTCTATTTCTAAAGAACACTGCAGGATAGTAATACGCCATGTATATAAAAAAGTTGACTTTTTTTCTTTTAGACGGCTGCATATAGATACATCCAACGCACCAATCTAACTAAAAGCCCTAGGTATAAGCGCTTGTGCTACAAATGCATTCTTTCTTTCGTTGTTTTTCTCTAACCCTTTCCTAAGTACTCGACGGATGACAAACGGCACAAATAGAGTGCGAATAAAGACGTGGAATTTAATGCTGCATATGTCAAGAATGTTTTGTATCGCTCAGTATATCTATCTTCCGGGGAACGGATCCATGAAACTTGTGCACAAAGTTACCGAGGAACAATGCGTCACGAGTGAAATTGGTATATCGCATGTTTCCCGTATAATATAGTTGCCGTATAATATGACGCAAACTACACGTTGTCCGTGTAATGTAAGTGATGATGCCATATTCTGAAGTGATCACGATACTTTCCAAAAATTTCGACGGCCGATTACGTACATTCTACTTTGATTAAAATATAGATATTAAGATAAACAAATAACAGCCGCCTACCTTCCAGTTCGACGATCTTGCCGGCTCTCTTCAACGCCTTTACCGCTTCATCGTGTGTGGCTTCTCGTAGATCTTCGCCATTTACCGCCAAAATGGCATCGCCGACGTAAAGTTGCTCAGTAGCGTCCGCTGCCATGCCTTTAAAGATCTTCGAGATGAGGATTGGCATTTTGTTCTCCTTGCCGCCCTTTATCGAAATTCCTAAGCCATTGTTGTCACTTTTGACCACACGGACAATGCGCTTCTGATTGGCCACCGAATCGGGCACATCCGGATCGTTCAAACTGTCTACATTGTTATTGTTGATGTTGCCGTTGTTCAGGGCGTTGTTACCGGTCTCACAACTCTCATCGAGCGAAATACTGAGATAATCGTCTTCCAAAGAAACGAATACGCGATACCACTGACCGCGCACTTGAGTTTCGAGAATGCCCGCACGTCCTGACGCTGAGGATGAGGCACCTGTAGTCGTGGTAGTCGACGAAGAGGATGACGATGTCGCCGCGGTCACCATCGAACTGATGCCCATTACTCCCATGGCCGAAGAAGCTTGGCCGCTACCACACAACTCTACCATTTCGATTTCTTCGCAAGCTGTACGCTGCAACATACCAATAATTGCAAACGTATAACTTTTTTTTTCTTTTTAATTTATTCACTTTAAATATTTAATATGCGCATTAAACTTCATGATTGTTTATTGAGCAAGAGAAAGAGAGATTAAAAAATAAGAAAAACATTTCCTCATAAATATTCAGAAAATCTTTCGATCGTGAAATATAAACAATGAAAATAAAAATAAAATTGGAAATGAATATTTTTATGCGAATATACATACATATCTGCTATTCGTACAAAAGTATAAACAAGAGGCACAGTTTTATGGGAAAGAAGAGATTTAAAAAATCTTAATAACTTTATCTTATGCCTCGTTCGATTTTCAATGAAAAGCTCGAGAAAAATGGCAACATATAAAATGGACGTTATAGTGCATCGCGAATAAATGGCGCCGGTACTCGACGACGTGAATAAATCAATTGTACTATATGCTGGCGAAATTCGTAATTTGAAAATAATTGATAGCGGTCGACAGTGACGTGGTCGAGCTCTCTTTGTTTTCCTCCTACACCATTATTTCCATCAATCCAGTATCGCGCCGTAACAATAGCGTTACCACTGCCCGCGTAAAATGGTATATGGGCGCAACGGAAAGCAAATAATTAGAAGAAAATTGCATGCGCTTACGAAATATATATATTGTATATGTGTGTCTCTATATACCCTATACATACACGATAATATTTGTGTGCGTGTGTGCGCGCGCGCGCGCGCGCGCGCGCGCGTATGTGATAGATTTCAACTAATTCGCTATCTATACTTTGTTTTTAATTAATTCTGAAAGCTTTAATGTGAATCGTGTTCGAGGAGAATGTTTAGTGAGAAATCATTAGTTCACAAAACAAGAAAACTCAGAAATTTTCAAAACAAATAAAATCAGAAATTCATGGTCATAAAGTTCTGTCTCTATCGAATTTTGAGAATCACAAAATAGTATGTTTAACGTTTAATGGAAAAAATATAACATCATTTAGGAATACAATGTTATTATTTTAATGCGGGCAAAGAAATCGATATTATTAGTTATTTAAACAGTTTTCAAATCTGGTAAAAATGAATTTATATATATTTATTATTAGTTTTTTATTTATTATTAATTAATTTATATATATTCATTATCATTTTGTGATATTTGTACAAAGTGTTGAAATAAAATACTTTTACAAACATTTTTTAACAAATAAATTCTTTTAAAACTCTACAGCTACTTAAATATATATATAAGTACTATGCAAAAGTAATGGAATAGCAAGATACCGTAAATGACAATGACCGCGTTTAATACGATAATATGTCGACACGTAGATATGTGGTAAGGTTATAATTGAAGTGTTTGTCTCTGGGAATTAGTCCTGCGTCAGTTCTGTCTTCATATTGCTTATGTGAAAATGCACGGACTGTCTCTAGATACTTCTAAATCATGTTTTAATTAACATTTGACACCTTTTGAGATCATAAATTTATAATATACCAATTGAAATAATTTGTGAATTATACTTCTATGACGCAAAGATTATACAAAAAAATTCTTACTTATCATAAATAAAAATCTTTAACTTTAATTATAAAATAAATACATTCAGGGGCGCGCGTTCTCATATTCTGAAATGTTTAGTTTTGTAATCGTTTATGTTCTTAAATCTTTAAGACTCCATTTCTTCCTAGAATCTTTTTACTTCTTAAGTCTTTGCTACTTTTTATTTACATACAAAGATAAAAATACAGAAACATCAACTATATAAGAATTTCCTTCCTATTGAAATTCTTAAATGGAAGGTTTGAATACTCCTTATATTTTCGATAATAATATTGAATTACAGCCTCTCTCGTTACCATTGACGCAAACTTTGAAAGGCATCGTGTATCACTATGCAGGGTTCCAGTATCATGAACTAAAGATATTTTACAAACTAAAATATTACAGAAAAAAGACAATACTTCCGTATGCTTTATAACTTAATTAAAATAATGTAATATGATTATAATATATAAATAAATTTATATGTAAATCAAGCAATAATATAAAAAGGTATATTATAATTTCAATATCTAAAAATCGATGTAGATGTGTGTTACAAACACTACCCAAGCTCGAGATGTTGGCATAAAATATTAAATGATTGTATAAAAATTTACCGACATCAATTATTATATAGTATATAGTCACATATACTTATGTACAAGATGTCCCGTAAGTTTTGGCCAATCGATTTTGTGTAGACAGAGCGGGCTAAACTGTGAGTCGAAAAGTTTTATCATTTTACAACTTTCGCAATAGTTAATAAGATATTAATTTCTAAAAATTGTCACTTTACAGAAAAACTGCAAAAGGCAAAAATCATTTATTTTCTTCTCATAAAGTTCTGAGAAAAAAGTTCTGTAAAGTTGATAGTATTTGATAGTAAAAAATTATTCAAGATCAATATTTGGCAATTTTTAGTAATTAATATCTTGTTAATTATTGCGAAAATTGCAAAATGGTAAAACTTTTCAACTCTGTTTGATCCGCTCTGTCTAAGCAAAAGCGATTGGCTAAAACTTACGGGACATCCTGAATATATATACTTAGTATATATAACAACTATTTCTTGAATTAAATATTTCTGAAACATCTTAATTTCAAATTGAGTCGCTCGTAAAATAAATTTAAAGTTAAAAAATAATCAAACGCCTTTTTGCACACATAAAGCTACAAAACATTAAATAAATTAGCTACTCTAATGACTTTAGTATTACAATGTTTCTTCAAATTCTTTTCCTCAATTTATTACTCTCAAGATATTTTACTCTAGAATTTATTATTTAATGCTTTACTTAAAATACATAAGATTGGCAAGGAAATAATGGATCATAAATATAAAGCAAGATATAAAGAAACTGTCGACACTTACTAATTACTAAAAATTCCAGCTTTTCTAAATTTTTGTAGGTAACAGATACCGTAATTAATAAAATTGAAATATCTTACATTCTTTTCAAAAATAAATAAAACAAATAGCGATAAAAACAAATTCTATTAAATTTTTCTTTTTTACAAAGTATGCTGCATTTATATCAATTTAATATCGTGACGATAAAACAATAGTATATACAATAGTATATTTTCAAGGTATTTAATAATACTGATAATAATAATAATACTACTCTAATAATACTGATATATCGATAGATAGAGTATATATCATAAGTTATAATTTAAAAGCATTTAATAACAATTATGTTTTTAATTGTTAAGATAGATCTGCATGTAAACACAAGTTTTAAAAACCAATGTAAAACCTCAAAACCCTAAACATTTTACGATCTTGAATATTCAAGGATTTTAATTTTGCTTTTATAAAGAATCTAAAAATATTAAATTTTTATTATGTAGAATCTGAACGTTCAATAAACTCTTGACATGTTTTATGAAATAATTAAGTTGCACTCACGTTATCCTTCCTAAAAGCTCCGTTGACAAAATATTTGGTAATATAACATGTAAATAGGCTTTTAACAGTGCGAATAAAAAAATGTAAAAAAAAACGCAGGGAGCAGTAGGCGGCACGGCGCCATTTTAACAAAATTGATCCACACAAAGTATTAAAATGCGGAAACAGACTCGCTTGGTCGTTTCAGTCGATATACGTACGTGCTGCACGAACGAATGCGACCAACTGTGTGACCATGCGTGTGGAAAGAGCGCGATGGAAAGAGCGTAAAGAGAAAAAGGAAGTAGGATAGAAGGTTTGGAAAACTTCGATTCCATGTCGAGTAATCGGAAAATGCATTACGTGCATGCATTATATCGTGGAAATAAACAAAAATGAAGAACAAAAGTGTCTTTCAGTTGCTCCAATTATTCGAGATATAAAGTAGAAGTTCAAAATTATATTTAAAAAAAATTTCATTATTCGTTTGTTTTCTTTTTAATCCTTGTTTGCATAGAAAGTCCCATTTTTAATATTAAGTAACAATCTACTTCAATTAGTAGAGCTCTGAAAATTTTAACTTTTATATTGCGAATTAACTTCGTAATCTTATTATACTAATCTTAATTTATACTAATCCTCCAGAAGATAAATAAAATTCATTAAATTCATTAATTTTTGTCAATAAAATATTGTACTACCAAAAATAAAATTCTATATTATGTATCATTTCAAGAAAATAGTGGCGCTGCTAGTTTAATATTTAAGCTGGCAGGACCACAAAAAAACAACACAAGGGCAAAAATTAATATCATTGAATTTGTACTAATTTGTATTACTGAAATTAAGTTAATATTTTACATGTATTCTCTTTAAAAGACTTTATTAATATATACTTACAGTCTATGAAGTATTCCACATCAAATCTTTGAAACATCATTTTATTTTTTTTTTAAATTTGTTAACACATTCTACAGATGAAAATATGGGACTCATGTTTCGCGAAAAAATGTGAGATTTTTTGTGCAGCTATTGACGCTTGTAAGTTGCAGAAATTCAAAAAAAACATCGCTCATATGCAAACATTCAAATTATTATATCGTCAAAACCATGTCATATAAAAAAAATGCTAGAGACCGATTTTAAAGATCGTAAACTGTTCTATGAAAGGATTATTTTTAATTTATTATTTTCATATAAATAAATCGTTTTCTATTTGTTTACAATTTTTATGAACATTTTTTATCGTCAACTCATCAATTTAAAAATTTGATTAAAATATCATCATATTTTCATTTCAATTATGAAGTAATCCTGAAAATTTCAAAATGAAATTCGAAATACTCGAATGGATTGTATAGTTAAAAACTTCAAGTTCCATTTTGAAACTGTCAGGGTTATTTCATAATTGAAATGGAAACAAGATATTTTTATAAAATTTTTAAATTAATAAGTTGATGATAAAAAAAGATACATAAAAATTGTAAACAAATGGAAAATGATTTATTTAAATGAAAATGATAAATTAAAAATCCATTCATAGAACAATTTGAGATGTTTAAAATCGGACTTT